CATCAAGTGTTCCAGTATTCATATAGTAATTACAGAGTTCAGCATACCTCAGCCCAGGAGGGCGAAAGTCAGTCAGTATGGGACATTCTACAATATAATGTTCAAGAGAGTGCATGTTTTCTCTTTCACAAAGTTGACACATTGTGTATTCGACATTTGGGTTTTGAGAAAGCTGCTATCTCCTCGCGATATCTATCATAATATTTAATGCTACAACTTTCAGGTCTTTGTGAATTTGTTAGGTCGAAGAGATTTTCATTAGATATTTGTTTAAGTATTCTCTTTGTCACTGCTAATGAAACACCCATATAAATTTCTACCACTGGTTTTCTACAGGCTGTCTTTGCAAGCATATCAACAGTGTCATGCCTTGAGATGCCAACATGTGATGGTATCCATAGGAATTTAATTTCAAATCTGTATTCTTTAGCAGCTAAAACATTCATTCGAATATCACTGACTATTTTCTGGGTCTCACTACTATGTTTGATCAATGCCAGGAGTGCACTCTGCGAGTCACAGTATACAAGTCCACTGCCTTTGTCTTTTAAAAATTCAGTGGCAAGGTATATGCCAGTAGGGCCAGAGGGTGGAGGGAAACGGTTTGGTTGGGAAGAATACGGGTATGCATGGGGCATGGAGATGGGTATAGCTGCGTGTTAAAGATGGGGGCAGATATGATGGGTAGGGGCGTTGTCGAACCGCGTGTTGGGGAAGAAGGTAAACTTTATGTAGGGGTGGGTAGGGTAGGTTTGTGTAGGGGTGGGTATGGCGGGTGCGGGTGTTAGGCAAGGTAAGGAAGGAGGCTGTGGCGAGGCTGTAGGCCGTGCTGGGGGCAGGCGACGCAAGCAGCCTGGTGAGGGGGTACACCTAGCCAGAGAAGTTTCGAAGCCATTTGATCTCCTCCCTCAAAGATTACATTCAATAATCCATTAATCAAGTTATCCGATACAGCAGTAAACTAATAATCCGCGAAGATTATCGGATCACGAGAGGAGAGCCGCCTCTTTGATGTAGACGGTCGCTGTGGTCGAGAATACTGACATAGCAGATTGATAAAGCCAGACAAGAGAGAGGGAGACAGACAGACAAGAGAGAGGGAAGGGGGGGGGGAGACAGTCATACATACACACGGATCCTGACAACGGCCAGTAGGCCCTGCTATCTACTGTTCCAGTGTTGGCTGGGACAGTGCTCTGGATGTTCTGTTGTGATGTCAAAGATGGTAGAACCTAACTGTTAACTGGCTGTTCATGGTTGGCTGAGTTTGTTGTGTAGCGTTTCCCCGAAGTCTAATATTCTACTGTCGTTGTATGTCGATTATTTCAGAGTTGTGTATTCACCTAATTGTATTCACCTAGTTGTGCATGCGGGGGTTGAGCTCTGCTCTTTTGGCCCGCCTCTCAACTGTCAATCAACTGTTTCTACTACTACTATTTTTTCCCCCCACACCACACACACACACACACCAGGAAGCAGCCACAGACAGCTGACTAACTCCCAGGTACCTATTTACTACTAGGTAACAGGGGCATAGGGTGAAAAAAAAACTCTGCCCATCGTTTCTCACCGGCGCCCGGGATCGAACCCGGGACCATAGGATCACGTGTACAGCATGCTGTCCGCTCGGCCACCGGCTCCCTATATGTGTGTATGAGAATGTCTCTGTTGATGATCTGGTTGCATGTAGAGATTACTTGTTGCTTCATTGGGGCCCCTTGCTGCTTGTGCAGTGTCGGGCGCCTTGAAAGAGATGTTGTTGTTTTGCCTATATGTTGAGAGCGTCGGAGCTGGCACTCCTCAAGTGGACTCGTGGAGGCACACACGACATTCTTTTCCTTCAATACATTTGACTTGGTATCGGGAGAAGTTGTCATGAGCAGGTTGACGGTCTCCTTGTTCTTATTGTACACTAGAGTGGGCACCCAGTGTGTCCTCGGTCTCTTTCCCTTTTCCCCCCTCTCTCTCTCTTTCCTGTTCTCTCTGTCTTCCTCCTCTCTCATCTCTCCTCCTCTCTCCACCTTTCTCCCCCAACAACGCCTTCTTTCCTTTCCTCTCCACCTCCCCACCTTCTCTCAATATCGTCCTCTAACACCCTCTTAATCTTCTTCCCACCATCCTCCTTGTCCTTCTCTCTCTCCTCTCCGCTCTCTCTCCTCCCCTCTCAACTTCTCTACCGCCCTCTACTTCCATCTCTCCTCCACCTCCCCCATCTTTCTCATAAACATTCAACCTGTCCTCGGGGGTAATCACTTCAAAACCATTACGTAATTAGTGCTATTATCTACTCCCCTGTACATTGGTTAGCTTAGGTTTAAACATTGTGTTATTCTCAATCATGTGAAATATGAAATTCGAAACTATTTGAGTATCACCCTAGAATTTCCACATTAAAGGAAACTTAAGAGCTGAGAGCATTAAAAAAAAAAAGAGACAAGTTTACGATAGATTTCTTACATTTTAAATAATCGATTTATAATACAAAACAGCTATAACTTGGGAATATTATCTGTTTAGGACAAAGGTTCACTTGCCAGTTTACAAACAGACAACAGTTCACAAATATCTAGATAACTATCCAGGTGCTGTGAGAGTGGATTTAGTGTCTCGATGTAATCACTCTACCCTGAGAACAGACTGGAAAAATATATAAAGAACTAAAAATGGGTACATAAGTCTGCTGACAACTAATTATTGTTTCAGACTTGACTTTATGGAAGTTGCAGGGAAGGATGGACGGGACCCTTGAAGTGTGGCACTGTAGGTGACACTACTTTTGACACTCCGGTGACCGGCAGCCTCCAGCCTTGGACACACTCTATCACTTATGTCTTTCCTGACTCTCTCCTCCATTTGTGAGTCGTGTAACACAAGTTCATGAAGAATGTTTCAATTGGCGGGAACGATAATATATTGATGTTGACCAGACCACACACTAGAAGGTGAAGGGACGACGACGTTTCGGTCTGTCCTGGACCATTCTCAAGTCACAATCGACTTGAGAATGGTCCAGGACGGACCAAAACGTCGTCGTCCCTTCACCTTCTAGTGTGTGGTCTGGTCAACATACTTTAGCCACGTTATTGTGACTCATCGCCTGCACAACGATAATATATTTTGATCATTTCGTCTAAATTAGCGTAACACATCATTTTCCTTTTAAAGATTCCTTCAATAGAGCCGTAAGAGTATTCATGATTGACTAGGACCTGTCTTACTCTACAGAGTTGCTCGTTAACCTGCTTCCACCCGGAGCTGTGTGTGAAGGCGCAGTTGTTATAAGCATTGACATCACTCCGCTTGTATATATCAGAGCCATCACTAGTAGTATTAATGCACATTCCCATTTGGGTTTCCTTAGTGTAGGCTGCACTGTGAAAGCTGCCGTTCCTTTCCTGGCTGTTACAGCTAAGGAAAGAAGCTTACCATAACTCTTCATCACGTAATTGAAGCTTAACATTGAACTTTGCTGAAACGCGTTTTAAAGCCGCAAAAAGCGTTCAATATATAGGCATCTGCAGGAATATGTCGTCAACATATCTCTAGTAATCGGCCGGTTTTATGGTCCAGGGCAGCCAAGGACTTCGACAGTTTCCCAGGTAAAAGTTAGCAAATAGGACACCAAGGGAGGAACCATAGAGACGCCATCTACCTACTTATACATGCGACCATCAGAGCTGAGGAAGGGTGTTTCTTTAATATATGTTTCGAGCAGGTTCCTCTGTTTCTATCTTGCGATGTTATGTGGACTACAAACTGCATTCCGATAAACACTGTAGTAACTGTTCAACAACACTGTAGTAACTGTTCAACAACACTGTAGTAACTGTTCAACAACACTTGTAACGGTGTACTTGTGTGTAACTAACAAGGGAGCCGGTCGGCCGAGCGGAAAGCACGCTGGACTTGTGATCCTGTGGTCCTGGGTTCGATCCCAGGCGCCGGCGAGAAACAATGGGCAGAGTTTCTTTCACCCTATGCCCCTGTTACCTAGCAGTAAAATAGGTACCTTGGTGTTAGTCAGCTGTCACGGGTTGCTTCCTGGGGGGTGGAGGCCTGGTCGAGGACCGGGCCGCGGGGACACTAAAGCCCCGAAATCATCTCAAGATAACCTCAAGATATAACTGTTCAACAACACTGTAGTAACTGTTCAACAACCCTGCAGCAACTGTTCAACAACCCTGCAGCAACTGTTCAACAACACTGCAGTAACTGTTCAACAACACTGCAGTAACTGTTCAACAACCCTGCAGTAACTGTTCAACAACACTGCAGTAACTGTTCAACAACACTGCAGTAACTGTTCAACAACCCTGCAGTAACTGTTCAACAACCCTGCAGTAACTGTTCAACAACACTGTAGTAACTGTTCAACAACCCTGCAGCAACTGTTCAACAACCCTGCAGTAACTGTTCAACAACACTGCAGTAACTGTTCAACAACACTGCAGTAACTGTTCAACAACCCTGCAGTAACTGTTCAACAACACTGCAGTAACTGTTCAACAACACTGCAGTAACTGTTCAACAACCCTGCAGTAACTGTTCAACAACACTGCAGTAACTGTTCAACAACCCTGCAGTAACTGTTCAACAACACTGCAGTAACTGTTCAACAACCCTGCAGTAACTGTTCAACAACACTGCAGTAACTGTTCAACAACACTGCAGTAACTGTTCAACAACACTGCAGTAACTGTTCAACAACCCTGCAGTAACTGTTCAACAACCCTGCAGTAACTGTTCAACAACCCTGCAGTAACTGTTCAACAACGGGCATGTTGGTGAACAGCGACACAACATCAAGAGACGCCCACACACACCTGAGGCCTCCTAACCCCACACAATAAGTTAACAAATTCCTGTGGAGCCTTAAGGCTGAAACCCCGAGGCCCGTTTGGAGTTAGCAGAGAGTTAAGTCACTTGTAAAATGTGTAGGTGGGCGTTGGTGCCTGGCTGATGATCGGGCCAAGTGGGCTTCCAGGTGTGTGGGTCCTGACACTCCCAGACGCTTGTCCTGGTCTGTACTCTTGAGTATCCTTCGACGGGTAAAGGCCAGACCTTTTGGTATTAATTCGGCGATAGTATCCCTATTGATCCTTCGGAACTTAGCTTGATCCGAGGGGATGAGGCTCATTTTGTCAATATATTCAGCTTTTTTGAGGATGGCGTAGATGGGCGACTTATCACCACTTCTGACAACTGTGTTCTTGTTCCTACGAAGGCCCTTACCTGCCGCCCTAAGCTCAGGAGACAGTCTGGTGCTTCTGTAGTTACCACGAGTCTTTCATTCCTCTGTCACAAGCTCTGCTTCCAATGTATCCTTGATAGTGACCTTCCCTTGTGTCTCAAGGTGGACTGTGTCATCCAGCGGGACCTCCCACTCCACTTTCCGGGCCATCTCACTTGGTCTGGACATAACGTGATAGTTTATTCCCAGATTTAAGAGAGTGATTTGGTCCTCAGTGAGGTTGCTCCCGGTGTGATTTAGGAAGCCATCTCTGGGCCGGGGAATCGCAATGGGGCTCCCAGATATACACGTCAGCTTCTGGTGGTTCTTGTCTGGGTGTTCAAACTATGTCTGTCTGCCAGTTCGTCGAGGCAGCGGTCGACCCAAGTTCAAAGGTCATCGTCGATGATGGTACGTATTAATTTTTCAACTTTATTTCCAAATGAGGTAGAGCATAAGAAATATAGAGAATCCCCATCATGAAGGAGTTGATCCTTGGTCTGTAAAATAAATATCCGGCCGCGCTGCCAAGATGCTCTGAGAACAAGCTTGAGGGAACAACATTGGGGTACCATACCTCGGCGTCCAGCGCCACACACCCCCGCTGGGAACCTCATCACAGCCGCCTCCACAACCCACGTATTACCTCAATCTCCTGAACAAGTACCTGCAAATTGGAACACCCGCAGAAAAACTGGAATAGAATTGCCGAGATTGAGAGGAGAGTTTCCTGTGAAGGCGGGTTATGTAAACAGGAAGATGAATGTCACAGTATATCTGGGCTTTAGTCCGGGCTCCAGGTCACTCACTGGCATATTATGTGTCCAAGTTAAGTTCCCTGAATAGCGTCGGGAATGCAAATTTAGATTCAACCCAGATCCTAATTTGCATATTAGCGTGCAGGGCGAGTAAGGGTACACAGAGAGAGAGAGAGAGAGAGAGAGAGAGAGAGAGAGAGAGAGAGGGGGGGGAGGGACGTTCACCCCTACATGAGGCAGAGGGAGAGGGGAGATTACTCCTCCCCACCAGCGAGGAAGGAAGAGGGACAGTATGGTCTTTCCCCCCCTCCCTTACCTGAGGCAGAGACACACACAGAGAGAGAGGGGAGGACTCTCCACAGCCCACCTGAGGGAAGGAGAAGAGGGGTTCTCGACCTTCTCACTTGAGGCAGGGAGAGTGGGGCTCCTCTCCCACCTGAGGCATGGAGAGAAGACGTGGGACGGGACTTTCCACCCCCTCACTTGCGGTAGAGGGAGAGAGAGAGAGAGGGGGGCCCTCCCGGCCCCCTCCCATCCAAGTTATGAAAGGGACAGAGAGGTGGGTGTCCATCTCCACCCTGAGAGAGAGAGAGAGAGAGAGAGAGAGAGAGAGAGAGAGAGAGAGAGAGAGAGAGAGAGAGAGAGAGAGAGAGAGAGAGAGAGAGAGAGAGAGAGAGAGAGACCGCCCCTCCACTTGAGGGAGCGGGAGTGAGAGGAACGCTCCCACTCAATCTGAGAAAGAGAAGCTCTCCAAACCCCCCCCCCCCCTTCCACTTGAGGCAGGGGAGAGAGAAAGAGCGGGGGGGGGGATCGCCACTGTAATAGAGATCTTCACTGTAAAAAAAGACCTTCGCTGTGACAGACTGTCAACTAGGCTACGAAGCACTGTAACAGTAGTGACGTAAATCGATTGTAAATACTGTCCCAGGAGTGGGGGGGGGGGGGCAGTGAACTGACGGATGCTTGCCGAGTACTTCTTGTTCAACTGAACACTGAACCCGGGACTTATTAGTAGTACAATTACTTCACTGCCAAATGGGGAAACTGGGAATTATTATAAACTCACTCTGAAAGAATTATAAACTGTGGGAATTACATTCAAGAACCACTCTAGGGAATTACTTCGACTCTGGCACATTTCTGGGGTACTGGCACCTTAGGGCACCTCACTACTGCAACCTGTGGACACTTGGGGCACCTCACTACTGCAACCTGTGGACACTTGGGGCACCTCACTACTTGCAACCTGTGGACACTTGGGGCACCTCACTACTTGCAACCTGTGGACACTTGGGGCACCTCACTACTGCAACCTGTGGACACTTGGGGCACCTCACTACTTGCAACATGTGGACACTTGGGGCACCTCACTACTTGCAACCTGTGGACACTTGGGGCACCTCACTACTGCAACCTGGGGACACTTGGGGCACCTCACTACTTGCAACATGTGGACACTTGGGGCACCTCACTACTGCAACCTGTGGACACTTGGGGCACCTCACTACTTGCAACCTGTGGACACTTGGGGCACCTCACTACTGCAACCTGTGGACACTTGGGGCACCTCACTACTTGTAACCTGTGGACACTTGGGCCACCTCACTACTGCAACCTGTGGACACTTGGGGCACCTCACTACTTGCAACCTGTGGACACTTGGGGCACCTCACTACTTGTAACCTGTGGACACTTGGGGCACCTCACTACTTGCAACCTGTGGACACTTGGGGCACCTCACTACTTGCAACCTGTGGACACTTGGGGCACCTCACTACTGCAACCTGTGGACACTTGGGGCACCTCACTACTGCAACCTGTGGACACTTGGGCCACCTCACTACTGCAACCTGTGGACACTTGGGGCACCTCACTACTGCAACCTGGGGACACTTGGGCCACCTCACTACTTGCAACCTGTGGATACTTGGGCCACCTCACTACTTGCAACCTGTGGACACTTGGGCCACCTCACTACTGCAACCTGTGGACACTTGGGCCACCTCACTACTTGCAACCTGTGGACACTTGGGCCACCTCACTACTGCAACCTGTGGACACTTGGGGCACCTCACTACTGCAACCTGTGGACACTTGGGCCACCTCACTACTTGCAACCTGTGGACACTTGGGCCACCTCACTACTTGCAACCTGTGGACACTTGGGCCACCTCACTACTGCAACCTGTGGACACTTGGGCCACCTCACTACTGCAACCTGTGGACACTTGGGCCACCTCACTACTGCAACCTGTGGACACTTGGGCCACCTCACTACTTGCAACCTGTGGACACTTGGGCCACCTCACTACTGCAACCTGTGGACACTTGGGCCACCTCACTACTTGCAACCTGTGGACACTTGGGGCACCTCACTACTGCAACCTGTGGACACTTGGGCCACCTCACTACTTGCAACCTGTGGACACTTGGGCCACCTCACTACTTGCAACCTGTGGACACTTGGGCCACCTCACTACTTGCAACCTGTGGACACTTGGGCCACCTCACTACTTGCAACCTGTGGACACTTGGGCCACCTCACTACTGCAACCTGTGGACACTTGGGCCACCTCACTACTGCAACCTGTGGACACTTGGGCCACCTCACTACTGCAACCTGTGGACACTTGGGCCACCTCACTACTGCAACCTGTGGACACTTGGGCCACCTCACTACTTGCAACCTGTGGACACTTGGGCCACCTCACTACTTGCAACCTGTGGACACTTGGGCCACGTCACTACTGCAACCTGTGGACACCTGGGGCACCTCACTACTTGAGCACTTCAATACACAAACTACACCCTACACTCTACTCTCACACATTCATCAATTACCATGGAAATCTTGGGTTAATGGCCGATAAATGACAATTCCCTTCATTTTCCAAACTTCACAAACAAGGCGAACAATGATTTAGTTTGGTTTGTTCAACTACCTCCTTCAGTTATTTACTCTAATGATATGCACGATGGAAATAAGCTGCCACTACTTTGTTTTTAAATGAATTATTAATCAGGGTGAACAGAGACACCAGTAAATTAATCAACTGTAAAATCCTTTAAACCAAACCCCGCCACAGTAGAGGAGCAGTGGCGCGGTCAACTGTGGGAGGCAGCGACGCCCATGTGGGAGGCAACGACGCCCATGTGGGGGGTGGAGACGCCCATGTGGGAGGCAGCGACGCCCATGTGGGAGGCAGCGACGCCCATGTGGGAGGCAGCGACGCCCATGTGGGAGGCAGCGACGCCCATGTGGGAGGCAGCGACGCCCATGTTTGGGGGAGGAGACGCCCATGTGGGAGGCAGCGACGCCCATGTGGGAGGCAGCGACGCCCATGTGGGAGGCAGCGACGCCCATGAGGGAGGCAGCGACGCCCATGTGGGAGGCAGCGACGCCCATGTTTGGGGGAGGAGACGCCCATGTGGGAGGCAGCGACGCCCATGTGGGAGGCAGCGACGCCCATGTTTGGGGGAGGAGACGCCCATGTGGGAGGCAGCGACGCCCATGTGGGAGGCAGCGACGCCCATGTGGGGGGTAGAGACGCCCACCCACCTGTGAGAGAATTGTCTCTCAAGGTTTCCCACAGCCGACTTATAAATGGCATATTGAAATGCAGAGTAGACCAACCTTGCACTAGACACACAGTGCACACTTCTCACCTGCCACCAGAAGCACACACACACACACACACACACACACACACACACACACACACACACACACACACACACACACACACACACACACACAGGTGTAAGGAATCATTCAGAATCTTGTACACCAAATATGTAAGACCAATCCTGGAGTATGCGGCCCCAGCATGGAGCCCGTACCTTGTCAAGCACAAGACGAAGCTGGAAAAAGTCCAAAGGTATGCTACTAGACTAGTCCCAGAACTAAGAGGCATGAGTTATGAGGAAAGGCTGCGGGAAATGCACCTCACGACACTGGAAGACAGAAGAGTAAGGGGGGACATGATCACAACCTACAAAATCCTCAGGGGAATCGACCGGGTAAACAAGGATGAACTATTCAACACTGGTGGGACGCGAACAAGGGGACACAGGTGGAAGCTGAGTACCCAAATGAGCCACAGAGACGTTAGAAAGAACTTTTTCAGTGTCAGAGTAGTTAGTAAATGG